AATGCTGTTTAATGGTCTGCAAAGGATTTACTCAGTTTTTGCAACAACATATGATGTGATTATCTTATCTACTTGACAAGGAAATGCAAATTTTTTTTTTTTTTTTTTTTTTTTTTTTTTTTTGAGATGGAGTCTCACTCTCTTGCCCTCACTGGAGTGCAGTGGAGTGATCGAGGGTCACTGCAACCTCCGCCTCCCAGAGTCAAGCTGTTCTCCTTCCTCAGCCTCTTGAGTAGCTGGGGCTAAGGCACACGCCACCATGCCCAGCTAATTTTTGTATTTTTAGTAGAGACAGATTTTCACCATGTTGGCCAGATTGGTCTTGAACTCCTGACCTCAGGTGATGTGCCTGCTTTGGCCTCCCAAAGTGCTGGGATTACAGGCCACTGCACCCAGTCTGGAAATGCTGAATTTCATTCATACAGATGACAGACTGGCCCACGTCCCAGCTCTAAGTCAAGTGGCAGAGCTGGGATTCAAGTCGTTTCCTGCCTTCAGATCATCTTTCTAGTAAGCTCCAAGGGTTTCCCAACGTTCCTTGACTGGTCTGTTTGTAACGTGCTTTTCTGGGTAACTTAAGTTGCCTAGTGCATCAGTCTTATCAAAAACTACTATTTCAGTATTTTTGAATACCAAGCATATGCCAGTCACTGTTCTGACCAATTTTTGTATATCATTACACAAAAAGTTTCTGCCTTCCTGAAACTTTTTAGACATTATAAACTAGAAAATTATGTTAGATGATCCCTGCTAAGGAAAAAAGGCAAGCCAGGTTGAGAATGACTAGGAGAAAGGGAAGCGGGTGGGAGGTGTTGGAATATTAAAGAGACGTTCAGAGTAGGTCTCCTTGACGTAATATCTAAGACTTGAAGGAAGTTGGGAACTATCCAATTTTAGCACATAAAATATGACTTACAGTTACTCTTCTTTGAATACCATGTGCACATTGCCTAAATAAGCAACAAGCCATCATCAATCTCTTACTGAATGATATGAAGCAACTTTGAGCCTACTAAAAGGATAAAAATAGAAAACATGCTTCAATTTCTCACCCCAGTTCAAGATCACTTTCTTCAAGTGCTAGGAGCCAAGTACTTCTAAACGAAAGTCTTAAGGGTCTTAAATACACTGTTTTTGAATACAGAATTATTCAGATAGCCCCACACTGAAGAAAACACACCAGGAGAATGACTTGTCTTTGGTTAGTCACTGTTGAAAACATGCACACCTGCACAATGGCATGGTGAAATGTGTCATTTGACTACTTCTAAGGGTGATCACTTCCTGTTATTTCAAACTCTGAAAATAATCTAGTCATGGGTACATATACTTAAGAAGTGCTCGGCCAGGCGCAGTGGCTCACGCCTGTAATCCCAGCACTTCAGGAGCCTCAGGCGGGTGGATCACCTGACATCAGGAGTTTGAGACCAGCCTGACTAAAGTGGTGAAACCCCATCTCTACTAAAAATACAAAAAAATTAGCCGGGCATGGTGGCAGGCACATGTAATCGCAGCTACTCAGGAGGCTGAGGCAGAATTGCTTGAACCTGGGAGTTGCAGGTTGCAGTGAGCTGAGATCGCGCCACTGGACTCCAGCCTGGGTGACGGTGCGAGACTCCGTCTCAAAAAAAGTGCTCATAACTAGGAGTAAAAAAAAAAAAGATAAAGAAAATGAGGTAGGGCTCTACACAGGGTAATTAAGCTGAGATCATCAGACACAGCTTTTGGAACAGGGATTCTAGTATTTGTGTGTGTGGCCTTTTGTCGTTGTTGAGTTTCTTATCGAAGGTAAACACAGGGGCGGGCTGCTGGGCAGCAGGCACAGGCGAGGAGGGAAATGTTCCATAACTCAGACAGCCTGGACTCAGAACCACCAACAGCAAAATGGACTTGCTTCTGAAATATTTGGTGGTTTCATGCAGCTAAAATAACTAAAGTTAAATAAATATTTGTAGTTTGTTTAGATCTGGCAAAAATATCCAAAAAAAGCCACAGCTAGGAATAATTAAAAATTTTGTTTAAGAACTAATATATATAAAAAAAAAAGAGTATGAATTTATCAACTAGCTCATTTTCCAAAATGAATTTTTTTCATTAGTACAGCTGACTTGGTGCTGTATCCGTGGGCAAATGGCCTCCCTCCACACACCACTTCAAAATTACACCATACCTGTTATATCTGATGGTACCACCACCAATAGAATGCAGAATTGTGACCTTAATAAGTGTTAACATTCCCAAGGCAACTGTAACTGACCAGTGGCTACTGCAGTGACCAGAAAACTACACTGCACCACTCTGGGGGGCTCCATTCACATTTATAGTGATGAGACGGTGCACAACACAGTGATGTCTGCTTGGTTACCACTGTAAATTAGTTAACCACAATTTGCTTTGTTCTTTTGCAATCTTAACTTCTTTTTTATTTCTATTTTTTAAGAGATGTGGCTATTCACAGGCGCGCTCCCACTACTGATCAGCACAGGAGTTTTGATTTGCTCCATTTCCAACTTGGGCTGGTTCACCCCTCCTTAGGCAACCTGGTGGTCCCCCCCTCCTGGGAGGTCACCACATTGATGCTGAACTTAGTGCGGACACCCCATCAGCATAGTGTACTACAGCCCAGAACTCCTGGGTTCAACTGATCCTCCCACCTCAGCCTCCTGAGTAGCTGGGAGTACAGGCACGTGCCACCATGCCCTGCTACAATCTTAACTTCTGACTGTACAATACAGTATCAAATTTAACAAGGGCACAATGCTTTGAAAGAAGAAAACAAGTCAGCATTGGTGGAAAATCAATAAAAGCAGAAAAGTCTGCTATTTATAAGTAGAATGATTTGTCTAATCTCCACCCCACAGGGTAAGAGCCATACTGGGGAGCAATAAACCTGGATGGCACAGACATTGTGTGTCTCTTGATGGAAGAAGCTTCAATTTTTATACTACATAGTGACCATATATTTTGTCCACTGGGGATCATGTTGACAGTGAAATAAGGAACCACTAATAAATCAAATCCCCTCAACAAGCATAATTCAAGACTATCCTTGGCAAACTTAGATGTATGCTTACCCTACAAATAGTTGAGATCTTTCTACCAAAACACATGGAAGAGCTAAGGACTCACTCATCTTTGATGTTCATGTCACATTGGCCGCCCTAAGCTCATTTGACACATCATATAAACTTCATCCCCAGAGAAGCAAGTCAACAAGAAAAGGTCAATTTAACATGGAAGACAGAGCCAGGTTAATGAAGGACTTCTTTTTCTGAGATGGAGTTTTGCTCGTCACCCAGGCTGGAGTGCAATGGCGTGATCTCAGCTGGCTGCAACCTCCGCCTCCCAGATTCGAGATTCTCCTGCCTCAGCCTCCTGAGTAGCTGGGATTACAGGTGCCCTCCAGCAACCCAGCTAATTTTTGTATTTTTAGTAGAGACGGGGTTTCACCAAGTTGGCCAGGCTGGCCTTAAACTCCTAATATCAGGTGATCCGCCTGCCTCAGCCTCCCAAAGTGCTTGAATTACAAGCGTGAGTTACCACGCCTGGCCAAAGGACTTCTTAAACTACTTTTAGCTCATGGCAAGCCTCACATAAGCCTGATGGCACAAAGAAGCATTAAAAGCTCGACTAGCAGAAATCATGGAAGTGGCACTGAGAGGCACTGACCTTCAGGGAAAAAAGTGCCAAATCCAGTCCAGACTACTGAAACATCTCGTCTGGCTTTGCCTCTGAACTTGGCTGTTACTTAAACTCCACTGATCCATAAAACCAGACAGCTTGTCTAAAAATGGTATGTAATGTCCTATCCAAGGATAAAATTTGTTCCTTAGGAATATCCAGAAATAAGTAAAATAAGCAAAGGCTACCTGGGAGAGACAGAACCCTTAATTCAAACTAACTCTGGTTTAGCAATGGCCTGCAGAGACTATTTCAGATGTGCACAGAGGGTTAGGATCTGCCATGTGTTTGTTTTTAAAAAATTCATCCACTTTCATTCATTTATAGGTAGTGGGTAAGTCTGTTAGTTTCAAAGTAGAGTTCACATCTTAACTCAAATATTAGCTTCCTTTTGACTTAATCAAGGCATTGATATTTTTGTCAGTAGCGACAAGTGTCCATTTTCAATGCGTTCATCAAAATTCCGTAATTTTACATGATTTTCTGCATGTGGTACCACTGGGCATGGATCTTTTATGACTTCCTACTTCCTTTACCCTGATACATTCCAGAACACTCTACAGAGATAGACGCCACCTGGGGATGACTGCAAGAGATTAAAGAGGGCTAGAGATGGGTTTTAAGGTTCTTCATGAAAGAAGTTTTTACTAATCTGTTTTCTACTCTCTAACTTGCATGCTCACAGCCCACCCACGTACTCGTTCCTGAGTGACTCAACAAGACTTTCACATGGTAGGAAGACACCAATCTTGTTCTGGTCCTGGGAGCCTTGCTTAGGTGTTATTTGCTGCTTTGGGAGATGGTGGCTTCAGACGGACCAAGTTGGAGAGAATAAGGTGTGGTTGGCACCTACAGCAAAACCTGGTGCAAAGAGCAATGACTCTCAAACTTCAGTGTGCAGCAGAGTCATATGAGGAACTTGTTAAAAATTAAACACCTACGCTGAGATTCTGAGTCAGCTAAACCTGGGAGGTGGCCTAGACATCTGCATTTGTAATTAGCACAGCCCACCCCTTACACTCTGTGTAGGCAGTCTTCCACCTTCAGCTTTCAGAAACACATAGAACAGTGACAATGCACTTGTCTTTGGAGGAGAAAGTCACACACACGCCCCACCAACGCAGCAGGCACACTGCCGCAGCATAACATTCACTCCTGAGCAGCAACTCCTGCTCACTGAAGAGCGAGTAAACATATATGGGTTTGACCATAAGTGAACATTCATCACTAACAGCTTTCCCCACTTAGTTCTTTTGTTCAGAGTCCACATATCATCTATTCTAATACATACAAAATAAAGGCAACATTGCTGAACTCAGTGGATTTTTAAGGTAAGCAATTATTTTATTTCCTTGGCCTGATGGCATTGACTTCATTATACAAGAACTTGCAGCTGACAGAACTGACACACAGATATCCCCCACGAGGAAGGACCCTTTTCATTAGCAGAGATGAACTGAAATGTCACGTCTGAGTGCAATTCCTGCTCCCCACCCCCACCCCACAAAATCCCAAAAGTGAAAACAAATCAATAAAATCCCCAAAATTTACTAAAAGTCATCCCTCCAAACCTAACTAGCAGCTGCAGTGGAGGGAAGCAGCTGGCCATCACATAGCATTCCTGTGCGGATGAGACTGAACGGGCAGCAGCATGGGAGCAAGAACCCCGAATGAGTGAGAGGTGGAGATCATCTACCTTAATTCACACCTGCCCCTTCCCTACATAAGACATCTCTGTCCTGATACACGGAAAATACTACAGGAGGTGCTAGGAGTGGTTTTAGTCTGCAACTGGAAATGCCTGAGGCTTATTAAATTCCAAGGTAGGGGTGAGATAAGGGGCATCAGAGTGAAAGAACAGGTTAAACAGATGGTAAACACTGTCGATTCCAGTTTAATGTTATTTAACAAAACTATCTTCTTAATCATAACCATCTTCATGCCTAACCCCTATTTTCCAAAAGTAAGCGGCCCCTGTCTAAATTTCTGGGTTGGTGTCTACTGCCATCCCTGGGGTGGTGTGTGATGTGAGTGAGATTGCAACAGGGATGGGGGAAAGTGTGAGACAGGGAAGATCGGGGGCCACAATGCATCAATTACTGTAGGTCTCTTTTGGTCCGCAGGTATGGTCCACTGTCACAAGTCCCCTTTCCCTACATGTCTTGTGCAAATGTTAAAAATAGAATCTCTGCCCAAAGAGAAGGGAGCACAGGAAGTTGCCGCTGGACTGCCATCATCTCTGCCCCCAACCTGTCCACCTCCTTGACCCGTCCATGAAATTGCACAAAAATTAAATCTGGGGAATGCTGTACAATGACATCATCCCCATTCCCCTATCAAAGCCAGTCCAACAGCTCTGTCCTGACATGCTTTCTCCCTGGGCCGAGGAAGCAGCAAGAAGTATCAATTGAGCATGTGAAAATGTAATGACGGTGTGTGCAGTGTAATGTTTCCAGATGTCTTCTCCTTCTATCTCCTCGCGGTGGGAGCCACCCTCTCTTTCCCCAAGTCGCACACACACCCCTCCCCTACCCCCAAGTCCAGGTGCTCCCATCTGCTGGGCTTCCAACCACTCATTTCCCATAGACACTCTCATCACTGTAGGCCACATAGAGAAAATAGTCTTCCTCATGATTGTCCTAGGGGAAGAGATAAGACAACAGTTTAGACAACATATTCATTCACTAGCTCCAAGGTGCTGAGCCTCACACAATCTTTTAAAACTGGTATGGAAGGTATTGTCGGTCCCATTTAAAAGAGGAGCAAAGAATAAGAAGTGGTTGGAATTACACTTTGAGTTCTGAGTTCACAAACAATCCTTCATTGAAAACATACTGCATAGGTATCAGGGATATGAAGATGACTGGAGCACAGTCTTCACTCTTACAGAGCTCACTCTAGCAAGGGGAACAAAGATACCACAGGACATGGGATACATAATGGGATATATCCTAACAGGGAATATACACTATGGAATAAAAGTTAGAGTCAGGATTATTAGAAGTTTATGTAATTCATTAATGGGGCACAATGAGAAAGAAGCATCTTATGTAAAATACTGCAAAGAAAATTGTTACAATCCTAGGTTATATTTTAAAGTCCTTTACTATAGTTTCCTCAGATTCTGACACTTTACCAATTAAAGCAAATCACATAAAAATTACTCCTCCTGAGTTTATCTGTTAAGACAAATAACTACATTTACAGACTTTGCCCTAATTTTATATTTCATTTATCGGATTCATTGTGCCCAGCTAATAAGGAATCTGCTTCACAGTTTTAGTTTTGTTCTAACAAGTTTCCTGTTGTTTAGATCAATGTGGTTGTCTTAAGCCAAAACTTCAGAGTTCATAGAGGAAGCTGACTGTGTGAGAAACCTTCAGTTGGCGGAGGTTGGCCAAAGAGCTGGCTTTATTATTATGGGCCTTCTCAATCTGTTGCTAAATGGGAGTAAAATAATGAGCTGGATTCTGAATGCATTACAAATTACACGCTACCAACAAGAATAGCAGGAACTGCGATGGGCTGATGCTTTGAAACTTTTGCTATCAGGGATCACTTCCTGCTGTTTCAATAAACAATCCAGCATTAAAACACTATAGTCAGACAAGACTGAGAAGAGATTTCAAAAGGATTAAATCTAGTAGAATGCTTAATCCCTAAAAAAACAAGTGCTATCTAATCTCTCAGAGCCTTAAACTGCCCTGTGTAAGAGGATCCTGATAAATAACACCTTCTGCCCCACTTCTCAGGTGTGTTATCAATATATACTAGACCAAAAGCTAGAGGATGCCAGACTGCATTGGAAGGCATCCAGTATTGTGTGACCAGAACCATTACCTCATAGAGTTGGCCCATGGTAGCACTGGTAGGAGGGATAGTGTTGTTGACAAAGAAGAATAAGGCGTCCTCAGGTCTCAGGTGGATTCTCTTCCGGATTAAGAAGTAGAACTGGCCAACTGGATGACGGAAGAAGAGCAGACAGGAAGGGAAGAAAGCAAGGGGTTAGTAGAAGGGTAAGTCCCAGAAAAAAATCCAACTGCATTTTTTCCCCCTTAGAGTCATTAGCGGCTTTATAGACCATCTGAGAAGAGCCAAATACTGTCCTAGAGCTTTCAAAACAAAAAGGGAATCTCCGAAGCCCACACAGTCCCTGACATGCCACAGTGGAGTTTATTCCTCCCTTCTTCCCTTGCTCAATCTCAGACCTCATCTTTGCATATCCACTCAAAGCCCAGGGCTATGCAGAAGGAATACCATGTGCATCCAGACCAAAACATTCCCATCATTGTCTAAATCTGACTTGAAACACTTTCCTCAGCCTCCCACATAGTGGGATTACAGGCGCCTGCTACCACACCCAGCTTATTTTTGTATTTTTAGTGAAGACAGGGTTTCACCATGTTGGTCAGTCTGGTCTCGAACTCTTGACCTCAGGTGATCCAACCATCTCCACCTCCCAAATTAATGCTGGGATTACAGGTGTGAATCACTATGCCCGGCCACAAAGCTGAATTTTATTTATTTATTTTATTTATTTTTTTAATAAAAAGACGGGGTTTCACCAACATGTTGGTCAGGCTGGTCTTGAACACCCGACCTCAGCTGATCTGCCCACCTTGGCCTCCAAAGTGCTTGGATTACAGAAGTGAGCCACCATGCCCGGCCTATTTTTTATTTTTTTGAGACAGAGTCTCACTCTGTCATTGAGACTGGAGTGCAGTGGTGCAATCTCAGATCATAGTAACCTCCGCCTCCCAGGCTCAAGTGATTCTCTTGCCTCAGCCTCCCAAGTAGCTGGGATTACAGGCATCTACCACCACACTTAGCTAATTTTTTTGTATTTTTATTAGAGATGCTTTTTTCACCATGTTGGCCAGGCTGGTCTCAAACTCCTGACTTCAAATGATCTACCAGCCTTGGCCTCCTAAAAGGCTGGGATTACAGGTGTGAGCCACCACAACCAGCTGAATTTTCAAATTGGGTTAGGCCTGGCATGGTGGCTCACACCTGTAATCCCAGCACTTTGGGAGGCCAAGGCAGGTGGATCAACTGAGGTCAGGAGTTTGAGACCAGATTGGCCAACATGGTGAAACCCCGTCTCTACTAAAAATACAAAAAAATTAGCCAGGGTAGTGGTGGGCACCTGTGATCCCAGTTACTTGGGAGGCTAAGGCAAGAGAATCACTTGAACCCAGGAGGCGGAGGTTGCAGTGAGCTGAGATCACGCCATTGCACCCCAGCCTGGGCAACAAGAGCAAAACTCCATCTCAAAAAAATTAATAAATAAAATAAAAGTGGTTTAAATAAGGGGCATCTGATCTTTTCTTTCAATGTCTTATGCTTTGCTGGGTCAAAACCCAACAAGACATGGTGATGGGAAAAAAACAATTGAGCCATTTTTTAATCAGCTAACTCTGGAGAATTCCATTCACTTCCTTCAAGTATGTACTGCCTATCAATCTCATGCATATAGTAAGGATTTAGAGAGCTTTGACAGGGGAGGAAGGGTCAGCGGAGGCAAAGAGCATTACCGGTAAGGTCGGAGGGCACTAGGTACTTCCTTTTGTCCAGATCAGGCACCCTGGCTTTTGGAGCCTTCTCTACAATCACCTGGAAGGAGAGGAGGAGAGTGGGAATGAAAACTACAGAAGGCAATCTAGTATTTTTTTTCCCACACCCCACAGTTGCCTAGTTACTACTGGAAATGAATCTGTCTAGGCTTAGGACAACTGTTTTCATTTCTTATTGCCCCCACCCCTTATAAAATACATGAAAAAAACGGGCTTCCTTACTGAGGTTATAGCTTCATTACTAAAATAAAAAGAAACTAGAGACTGTACATGATGAAAAGTAAAAAGAACTTTGATTCTGAGTAATTACAGGTTACCTAAAAGATCTACCATAGGACATATACCTCCTGGTATTTATTTATTTTTAATCTTTGAGATGGAGTCTTGATGTAGCCCAGGCTAGAGTACAGTGGCTTAATCTTGGCTCACTGCAACCTCTACCTCCTGGGTTCGAGCAATTCTCCTGCCTCAGCCTCCTGAGTAGCTGGGATTACAGGTGCACACCACCATGCCTGGCTAAGATTTTGTATTTTTAATCGAGACAGGGTTTCACCATGTTGGCCAGGCTAGTCTCAAACTCCTGACCTCAAGTGATCTGCCTGCCTTTCCCTCCCAAAGTGCTGGGATTACAGGTGTGAGCCACCATGCCTTGCTACCTTCTGGTATTTAATTGGAGTATCAAGAAAACTGGGTTTTCTTATATGGTTCTGATCACCTATAAGTTTTTATTATTTCTTCTATCATTTATTAAAGGTACTAATAATGTGGTTTAAATCTTATACTTTGTCAAAATTTCCAAGAACTGCTCCAGATACTATTAAATGGAAAAGAAAGTGTTAAAACAAGTCTGACAATGACATCCTATAATATGATGTCAGTACAATAAGCCATTTAAAGGTACTGATTATGTTAGGACTTCAAGGGATTTTCAATGTCTATATTATATACTTCTATAATATTTCAAGTTGTATAAAGATCATGTATTTCTGTACTAGATATATAAAAACTTAAAAAAAAATTTATACACTAAAACCTTACCAAACAGAAAATAGCATGAGCTTTAGACTTTCAGTTTAGAAAATATAATTATTGGGCCGGGCATGGTGGCTCACGCCTGTAATCCAAGCACTTTGGAGGCCAAGGCAGGTGGATCACCTGAGGTCGGGAGTTCAAAACAAGCCTGACCAACATGGTGAAACCCCATCTTTAAAAAAAAAAGAAAATATAATTATTTTTGAATCTATGGGAAGTGTAGAAAAAAAACTGAAGCAGAAAAAAAAACTGTACAAGTACTTCTAGTGGCTGTGTGATCTTCAACAGGTCATGTAACATCTCTCTCAACTTCAGTTTTCCAATGACGTTTTTTTTTTTTTTTTTTGAGGCCGAGTGCCACTTTTGTCACCCAGGCTGGAGTGCAGTGGCCTGATCTAGGATCACCGCAACTTCTGCCTCCTGGGTTCAAGTGATTCTCCAGCCTCTGCCTTGGGAGTAGCAGGGAATGCAAGCGCATGCCACCATGCATGGTAATTTTTCTATTTTTTAGTAGAGATGGGTTTCGCCATGATGGCCAGGCTGGTCTGGAATTCCTGACCTCAAATGATCCACCCACCTCAGACTCCCAAAGTACTGGGATTATAGGTGTGAGCCACCGTGCCCCGCCTGAAAAGAAAACTTTCTAACACATCTTTAACAAAGTCATGGTATTGATATGATGTAAATGTAATAAAATTTTATATGAAAATGCTTCATATATTATAAAGAATTATCTAACATAGTTAAGTTCGGGGAGGGTTTGAACCTTTTAAATTAAAAGAACAGATTAAAATTAGTAAAGAAACAAAAACAAAAAACAAACTTGCTTTATGTTCTGGTAGAAAAAAATCCTGAACCAGGAAGACCAGAGGGACATGATCACATTTTAAATTTAAAAGTAAAAACTGAAATAGGGTAATGTGAGTCAGAAATTAAAAGGAAAAGGCAGAAAGAGGCTAGCATTGTGGCCCAAAGGAACTCTGAGACCCAGCAGTAAGAGATTAAAAACCACAAAGGAAGACAGAAAAAAAGTGATAAATCAGATTGCAATACCTGGATGGGAGGGAAGGGCTTGGAGAGGAAGAGAAAGGGAAGGGTAATCATTAAAACCTTGGTTTCACAGAACCAAGGTTAAGTTTCCAGGAATCCCAATTCTATTCCTCAGTATGGTAGACCCCTGGGCTAGATGCTTTGCCTCTTTGGGTCTGTTTTCCTCATTTGTAAAATGTGACTCATACTCAGTAGGGTTATGAATTTTTAAGAAGACAATCTGTTCCTAACAGTTTTTTTGTATGTTGTATCTATGAAGATAATTTCAAGATCCCATCAACCCTTGCTCTCCGAAGGCACAAGTACACCTATTCTTTCCAACGTGAGCTCTGAAGAAATATTGGTGGGGGTAAGCTCTGGTTATGAGAGCAGTCAGGATACGCCATTGCTTTAATAACAATGGTCAAGTGGGAATGGGCTTTAGGAGTCATTACTATAACCCTCTTTTCTGTAAACAAGGCACTCTAGCACCACAAGATTAAGAGTTCTGCCCAAGGATGCAATGAATTCCTAGAACTAGAACCAAATCAAGGAACCTGCGTCATAACTAGAAAGAAGGTCACAGACAAAGCACTTTGAGAACAGCTCACCACTGGTTAAAACATAACCCTAGGAAAGCTGAAATCCGAGTGACAGTCTTAATGGCTTAAAAATTATCACAGAAGCAAAACATTTAACACGAAAATATGAGCAGGAAAAGAAGAGAATTCACTGAAATATTCAGAGTGAATACACATAAATCACTAAAATATTTATCTAATACTTAACAATGTAAAGTCCACAGTACATCACTAATTCTGGTTCATACAGCTATATTAGAAATTGAGATATATGGCATGGAGGTTAAGGTCTCCGAGAGCTCCACAGTCCATCAGACGGGGTGGAATTCCGGCTCAACCACAGATCAGCAACGTGAAACCTTTAGGAAGTTACTGCATTTCTTTATGCTTTGAACACTCCATCTGTAGAACCGGGATTATAATCGTGTAAGGATTAAGTGAATGATTACAGACTGATACAATAATGCTAGGGTAAACTATCAATAAAACTTGGCTGTCATTTTTAAATATCATTACTCAAAAGTAAGATTGGCATCACCAAAACTGGGCGAAACTTTCACAGCAGGTATCCAAGGTCCAGAAACCAGGAAAGTAATTCGTAAAGGATCCTTTACTGGCTAAGGGTTTTGCACATTCCTTTATAAGCTGAAAACCCTTTTGTAATTCCTGGGGAATGGAAGAGCCCTAATGACTCTTTTTTTTTTTTTTTTTTTTTTCCTTTAAGGAAAAGAGGTACAAGAGGTTTGTACTGCTGGGCTAAGGCGCTGGCGGCTTCTGGTAGCTATAAAACCATGAATGTTAGGTAAGGATTAAAGAAGAAACCCAGAGTGGCTGTGAATCAAGAAAAGACACCAGATAACAGCAATTGTTTTACCATTATGTGACTTGTAACACTAATGTCCCCACATGAAGATCACCGTAAAATCTCCGCTACTCCATTTCCAAAATCCAACAGTTGCTGGTCCCTCTACCACTTAAAAGTCATATTCTGGCCTTCAATTTGGCATCGCAGCCTACATTAGAGAAACACCAGGCAAGTGGGCTTGGGAGGAAAAGGTTCAGAAGCCATTCGGTGCTTTTCTTGCATTCTCTCAGAATTACGGGGGGGGGGGGGGGGGAGGACTGGGGAAAACGCCCGGATGCTGGAAGATACCTAATTATTTTTCTCCGTTCCTCCTCACTACCTGTGCTGGTTTTAACTACTTAAGCCGGTGTCCAAAACAGAGAAAAGGAGTCTCAGTCCTGCCTTATCGCGTCCAGGTACCATGTGATCAGAAATCGATACCGGGGAAGGATAGCTGTCTCCACACATGCCCCGGAGCCTAGAACGATGAGGCAAGCGGGCTGTTGCGCAGAGAACGTGACCTTGTTTTCCAGGCCAGGACTGTCCTGTGCTCCCCCACCCCCCTGTAATTCTGAGAGAATGCAAGAAAAGCACCGAATGGCTTCTGAACCTTTTCCTCCCAAGCCCAACGATATGAGAGAGAAAGTCAACTTCATTAAAGGGGAACCAACCAAGGCAGAAATCGACCGGGGCAAACCTCACGGCAGAGCACAATGTCCCTGCGTTCTTAAAGGCAGCCAATCCATGGCCCCGACCTCACCACTCTCGCACACAGGGGCCCTATTTTGTGCACCCCTCAACCCACACACGTCTCAATACTGCTGAGTCACTGCAGACGGCGGCTCGGCTCCAAAAACGCCGTCAGCTCTAAAGTGGGATTCAGGCTGCTGGCATACAGGTTTTAAAAGCTCCGCAGTCTGGACGTCCATTGGCTCTGGCACTGAAGAGCTTTCAGGATTAAGTAATTCATGGAACCCCCCCCCCACCTTCTCCAGAGCGACCTGGGCGCCCCAGGGCAGCCAACGCTACTCCCCGCCCCCGCCCCCGCGGGCCCTCCTGTCCCATCCCCCCACTGCTCTACACTCACGGGGACCCTGTCCGGATATTTCTTCCGAATCTTTTCTCCTTCCTTTTTCCGATACTCGAAGGGATGGTCCTCCTTGTACTGGAACTTCATAATGCACCGCAGGGCTTGCTAGATCCCCGCGCGGGGCCTGCCTCCTTCGCAGCTGACAGTTGGCCGCGTCCTGCTCCCTCCGCCGACGTCAAGGTGTACTCAGAACAGCTGCAGAAACGTCCGCTCCTGGGGCAACAGCGCTGGGCCGAGTGCGCGGTGGGGGAAAAGGAGGGGGACCTCGGGTGCGCCTGCCTGGAGGTAAAGGAGAGCCAGGTGGAGAAATACCAGCGGCTTTTTCGAAGAGCTGGAAGCACAAAAACAGCCGGGCGGAGCGTCGGCCTGTGACGTCACCCCGCGCGCCACGCCACGCCCCCGCGCGCCAGGCGCCGAAGGCGGGAGGAGGCCGACAGCTCTGCCTCACTGCTTTTGCTTTCTGGCTAACCTTGTTTAAAATCGATGTCATTGCAAACATCAAAACATTCTAGTTGTGTTTTATTTTGTAACCGTGAAATTAAATACGGTTTTAAAACAAAAAAAATATTCTAAACATGTTTTCTTCCCCCTCCACTGTTTTTGTTGGTTGGGCCCCGGAACAAATACAAAAGGCAAAAATCCAGCCTGTCTCTGCTGGTTGGGATCCACCCTCAGGGGAACAGAGGGCCAGGCCTCCTGGGATCCCTTTGGCCAATGCAGAGCTGTCCCGTGCTTGCACCGTGCCCTCTGAGCGTTCCGCTGCCGCTCCTCCGGCGCTGACGTCACTGTTTGGATCCGCGCCGTGGTTCGCTCCTGGAACAGCAACATAAACAGAGCGTGACTCAGGAATCTGAAGAGATGTCAGGTGAAGGACACGGAGCGTAATCAATGTCCAGAGGAGACGTGATGTCAGTAAGGACTACCGAGGGCTTCACGTACAATCAAATATAGAAATGATTCACTTTCTGCCATTAATCCAGAAGGAGGGCGTGTCTTCTGGAAAAGAAAGTATCAAGCAATTTAGGTGATGATCTCAGTTCCCCCACATCTTATTTCTAGTGGTTGGGTATCCCTCACGTGACTAGAAAGCGCCGCCTGGAATGCTAGTGGCAGACTGAGCATTGGGGCAGGTGCGGTGAAGCCTCGTTCTGGCTTTAACCACCGAGAGTCAAACGACAGAGGCCTTCCAACCAGTACTGTAGGCAGCGAAGGGAGTGCTGTGGAGATTGTAAAAAAGAACAGTGAAAAGGGACTGCTTTGCCCACACAAGTCGGGTGAATTCTGAAAAATGTTAGACACAGAAGCCCCATGGCCTATCTTCTTCAATCCGGGTCGCAGTGTCTCTAATTTTAAAAAACACACCCACAGGGGGCCGGGCGTGGTGGCTCACACCTGTACTCTCAGCATTCTGGGAGGCCTATACGGAGGATCGCTTGAGCTGAGGAGTTCAAGACCAGCCTGGGTACCATGGCAGAACACTGTCTCTACAAAAAAAAATACAAAAATTAGCCAGGCATGGGCACCGCTGTAGTCCCCGCTACTGGGGAATCCCTTGAAGGCTGGAGAATCCCTTGAACCCGCGAGGCGGTCACTGCACTCCAGCCTGGGGAAAGAACGAGACTTTGTCTCAAAAACAATAAATAAATAAAAATGAAACACGTACTCTGAAAGTAAAAGAAACTAAGTTACATTACTGGCACAGGAAAATGTATCATATAGTCCCACTTCCCCACGGCATCTTTCAATCCTTATGTATTAAAATCCATAAGGGCAGGGCACGGTGGCTAAAGCCTGTAATCCCAGCACTTTGGGAGGCAAGGCAGGCGGATCACCTGAGGTCAGGAGTTCGAGACCAGCCTGGCTAACACCGCGAAACCCCTTCTCTACTAAAAATACAAAAAAAAAAAAAAATAGCTGGGCATGGTGGCAGGCGCCTTGGGAGGTAAGGCAGGAGAGAATTGCTTGAACCAAGGAGGCAGAGGTTGTAGTGAGCATAGATCATGCCTTTGCACTCCAGCCTGGACAACAAAAGTGAAACTTCATCTCAAAAATAAATAAATAAAGAAAGCTAGAAAATCTATGAGGTATTTTACCACGTTATATGTTTATAATTTTTAGGTGTTATTTTCAAATTGAAAATAGTTTAATTTTCAGTGGCTCATTTTAGTTTTTATGCAAATATAGCTAAGTCTTTCTAAAGAGTTATTTATAACCAGTTGAGAAAGAGAATTAGGGTGGAGATGAAAATTTTTAGAGTGTTGGCTCAGCATGGTAGCTCAAACCTGTAATCCCAGCACTTTGGGAGTCCAAGACAGGTGGATCACTTCAGGTCAGCAGTTTGAGACCAGCCTGGCCAACATGGTGAAACCCTGTCTCTATTAAAACTACAAAAATTATTGGGGTGTGGTGGTGCACTTGTAATACCATCTCCTTGGGAGGCTGAGGTGGGAGGATAGCTTGAACCCAGGAAGAGGAGCAAGATTCCCTCTCAAAAAAAAGTTTTTTAAGTGTTGTTTTCTGATCGAATCTACTGGAAACAATCATAGTTCATCTAATGCTGATTTTATTTTTATGTATTTATTTATATTTTTGAGATGGAGTTTCACTCTTATTGCCCAGGCTGGAGGGCAGTGGCATGATCTCGACTCACTGCAACTTCTGGCTCCTGAGTTCAAGCGAGTCTCCTGCCTCAGCCTCCTGAGTAGCTGGGATTACAGGTGCACACCACCATGCCCAGCTAATTTTTGTATTTTTAGTAGAAAGGAGGTTTCACTATGTTGGCCAAACTGGTTTCGAACTCCTGACCTCAGGTGATTTGCCCATCTCGGCCTCCCAAAGTGCTGGGATTACAGGCGAGAGCCACCGTGGTGGCATGTGCCTGTAGTCCCAGCTACTCAGGAGGCTGAGGTGGGAGGAGCGCTTAAGTCCAGGAGTTCTGGGCTGTAGTGCGCTATGCCGATCCGGTGTCCGCACTAAGTTCGGCATCAATATGGTGACCTCCCGGGAGCGGGGGACCACCAGGTTGCCTAAGGAGGGGTGAACAGGCCCAGGTTGGAAACGGAGCAGGTCAAAACTCCCGTGCTGATTAGTAGTGGGATCGCACCTGTGAATAGCCACTGCACTCCAGCCTGGGCAACATCGCGAGACCCCGTCGCTTAAAAAAAAATAAAATTAAATACCAAAGCACAGCCCCCCGCGGTGGCACGTGCCTGTAGTCCCAGCTACTCCGAAGGCTGAGGTGGGAGGATACCTTGAGCCCAGGAATTCTAGGCTGTAGTGCACTGTGCTTATTGGGTGTCTGCACTAAGTTTGGCATCAGTATGGTGACCTCCCAGGAGAGGGGGCCCACCATGCTGCCTAAGGAGGGGTGAACTAGCCCAGGTTGGAAACGGAGCAGGTCAATTCTCCCATACCGATCAGTAGTGGGACACCTCCTGTGAATAGCCATTGCACTCCAGCCTGGGCAACATAGAGCGACCCTGTCTCTAAAAAAAAAAAAGATGCCAAAGCACAGTGGCTATTTACATATAAAAAATAATTTGGAGATGAAATATCAATCTTTCTGCCACAAATCTTTCTTAAATGCTAATTGACATGTTTGGAAATTGACAGATTATGTATAAGAATACATAGATTATGTATAATAATACATAATGTATAAGAATACATAATCTGTCAGTTTCTAAATATCTGTCAATTTTTTTTCTTTTTATTTCTTTTTTTTTTTTTTAAGACAGGGTTTCACTGTGTTGGTCAGGCTGGTCTTGAATTCCTGACCTCAGGTGATCCGCCCCCCTTGGCCGCCAAGTGCTTGGATTACAGGCGTGAGCCACTGTACCCAGCCTTTTTTTTCTTTTTAGATTTTTTAAGCTAAAGCAAATCAAACATTGTCAATTTTCAAAGGTTGCTTTTTATTTTTATTTTAAACATAACATTTAGAATTATTATATAGAAGCCCAACTTAAAAAAAAAAGGAATTATTATATAGAAGATTTTTTTTTTTTTTTGAGAGAGAGAGAGGGAGGGTCTTACTCTGTTGCCCAGGCTGGAGTGCAGTGGCATGATCTTGGCTGACTAAAACTTCCTCCTCCCAGGTTCCAGCGATTCTCCTGCCTCAGCCTCACGAATAGCTGGGACTATAGGTGCATGCCACCACGCCCAGCTAATTTTTGTATTTTTTGGTAGTGATAGGGTTTCACCATGTTGGCCAGGCTGGTCATCAACTCCTGACCTCATGTAATCCACCCTCCTCAGCCTCTCAAAGTGCTGGGATTACAGGCGTGAGCCACCGCGCCTGACCTATAGAAGTAAATTTTAAATTAACACAATCAAGTAAAATATTTCAAAATGTTTTATTTAACCAAAAACAAAATACTACATTAAGAATCCCAGCACTTTGGGAGGCCAAGGCAGGTGGATCACGAGGTCAAGAGATCGAGACCATCCCGGTCAACATTGTGAAACCCCGTCTCTACTCAAAATACAAAAAATTAGCTGGGCATGGTGGCCCGTGCCTGTAATCCCAACTACTCAGGAGGCTGAGGGAGGAGAATTTCCTGAACCCAGGAGGCCGAGGTTGCGGTGAGCCGAGATCGCGCCATTGCACTCCAGCCTGGGTAACAAGAGTGAAACTCCGTCTCAAAAAAAAAGAAGCTCACATTTTCTCAAATATTTTTTCAATGTTTCTTGTACTTTCTTTATGTTTTCAAAGGTTACAAGTTTTTTTCCATCTTTTCTGAACATTTTCAAACATGTAGAGAATTTTGAAAAATAGTATAATAAACATGAACATACCCTCCACCTAAATTTTTTCCATTTGAAAGTAAATTAGAAACATGACACCACCCAATATACAAATTATATCCCCCTGAAAATAAGAACATGTTCCTCCATAACCACATTAGTTATTACATCTTAAAAAGTACCAATATTTCCCAACATTGTCTAATATAGAACTTTTATTTATATTTCCTCAATTGCCCCAAACACACTTTTTTTTTTCTCTCTCAATCAAATATTTGAATCTGAAAACAGGTGGAATTTACCATAAAGATAGGTCTGATTTCTTTGATTCAGGGTCTCTCTTGTTGTTGTTGTTGTTTTTTGTTTTTTGAGATGGAGTTTCTCTCTTGTTCCCCAGACTGGAGTGCAATGGCACAATTTTGGCTAATTGCAACCTCCACCTCGCAGGTTAAAGTGATTCTCCTGTCTCAGCCTCCTAAGTAGCTGGTATTACAGACATGGGCCACCATAACAGCTAATTTCGTGTTTTTAGTAGACATGAGTTTTCACCATGTTGGTCAGGCTGGTCTTGAACTCCTACCTTAGGTGGTCCACCCACCTCAGGCTTCCAAAGTGCTGGGATTCCAGGTATGCACCAGTGCACCAGGCTCAGGGTATCTTACATTATCACATTTAAACTGATATATAAAACCAGAGTTTTAGTTCATTGGTCTCCAACAAGAAATACAATAGCTAGAGGTTTAAGTTACTCATAGCTGTTTGCTGAATTTGCTTGCTAAGCTTGGAATTTAAACAAGGGATTTTATTACTTAATTTGAATTTTTTAATAAGCTGCCACCCACAAATCAAGTGTCAAATACCACCAGGATGTGCCTGGTTGACTCCAAGACCAGCAAAATATTTCCTACCCCTGAACTATACATAAGTGGATCGTCCTTAATAATTTGTGTGCTCACATTGCTTCATTGCAACTGCCACTACCTTAGTTTAATCTTCATTTAAAAAAAAATTGCCTTAGTTCTGATTATCTATTGCTATATAGCAAAGCACTTGAAAAGAATGGCTTAAAATAATAGCATCATCTATTTTGCTCACAAATCTTAAGTAATGGGGCTTAGCTAGACAATTTTTTATTTTCTTTTTTTTTTTTTTTTTTTTTTTTTTTTTTAAGACGGAGTTTCACCATATTGGCCATGATGGTCTCAATCTTCTGACATTGTGACCTGCCCA